CTATCAAATACCCACAGACAGGGCCCACACCCTCACCTGTATAGGCGATTGTTGACGAGGCTTCGGAGTGCTGTGGAAAAAGGCGCAGCCTCCCCGTGCACAACCAGTCCTGGGTTCTCCATGAGTGGGGTGAGGCAGGGGAATAAGTGGGTGGAATAGCCTAGTAGGCCTATTGTCTGTTGGTATGTGGGAGGTGGTAGGTGGGAAGGAGCAGGAGGCCTGGCCAGCCCCTACATCTGGTGAGGAGACTAGAAAGGCCTGGGAGGGAGGGGCAGGAGTTTGGGAGGCCTGTTTGCTGAGAAGCTGAAGTTTAGGGATGGGGCAGGAGAGGCCCAGGTCAAAGGCATCAGAGGCTGGTGGAGGAGGCCAGAGGCTCGGCTTGGGGATGGGGACTCAGGAAGGTGACCAAGAGAGGCCGAGATGGAGCTGACCAAACAGGGAGGAGAGGCTGGCTGCCGACAAAGCCCAGCTGGGAGCCTGCCCAGGCAGCCGCTGGGGTGGGAAGCCTGTGGGTTTCCACGGAAACTGGAGCCTGGCCTGAGGAGGCCCCGCCCACCTCTCACAGGTCCAGGGAAAACTTCAGACTTCAGAGGGGCCCTAAGCAGAGTCGGAGGGTCTTAGACCCCGCCTGTTCTGGGTTCAGAGTTCAAACTCCCTGCCCCTCCTCCCCTTCCACCCACGTGCACACAGGGCCAGGATCAGGTTAACCAAGTCTGGGGAACACCACTCAACAGAGAAAACTCTCACTCTCATGACGGGTTTTCAGGGCCCAGACAGGGCTTTTTTTGGGAGGAGGAAGTCCCGTTCCTCTTAGAGAGGGGTCAGGTGAGGAGGTGTCAGCTCTGACAGAAGAATCATGGCCTCTGGCATCCCTGAAATGCAACACATGGGCTGTGGCCAGCTAGGGACAAGTCCCAGAGTACTTGGGTCAGCCGGGGTCAGGAGGCTCGATGCTCAGTCCAGAGTGGGAGCCCACCATCTCTCATCCTTCCTTCCCTTGAGCTAAGGCAGCCCAGAGCTGAGGAAGTCAGCCAAGCCCCACCCTATCTCTGCTCAGGGAGCGGAAATGTTTGTCCTTGTTTAGACCGATGGGGAGAAGATAGTTATGAAGTGCTCCTTCCTGTGGGCCCAGATCCTGATTCCCGAGCAGCCACCCCCGTACCCTCAAAGTCTGGCCATATCCCAGGCCTACTCCGAATTTCCCACAAGAGTGAAGAGCCATTCTTCTCAAAGGGAGAAATGGACAGTGGCTTAAGAGTCCTGGGGTAGGCACACCTTTATGACCAGAGCCCCTCTCTAAATCTGCTCCCTCAGCCATCCTTGTCATGGTAACGTGCCCCTGGGCTCTAACTCCTCCCCCTCCCCCCCCCTCGTTGTCCCCTTTCCCCTGATGACTCAGGGACCCTGCACTCAGCATGTGCTCAGAGTTAACACTCCCAGGTTAAGCCTGAGCCAAGACTGGAGGGAGGGAACCAGGAAGGGAGGAGTGCTTACCCAGCAACCCATGGCAACGCCACAACACAGGCAAGGGGCTCTTTCACTCCCACATGCCAGTCAGGCCAGCCAGGCAAGGGCTGTGAGAGCTCAGAGGCCAAAGTCCGCAGGTGACTCAGGGTGCCTGCGGGAGTTTCGGGAGTTTCGGGAGAAGAGGGCAGCCATCTCAGAACTGATTTTGGAGGTAGGGCCAGAGGCCAAAAGCAGAGGGTGGAAGGAACTTCCCGAGTTGGCTTCCCCCAGCCTCAGCCAGTTATGGGGAGATTTTTGTGCCAGCATTCTAGAAGCAGGTAGGGGTAAAAAATTTCGGGATTCAATACCCACAGGGCTGGAAGGGCCTGTGGGGTTGGAGTTGGGTCCATCTGTCTTAGGGGTTTAGGGGTTTGAGGCAACGTTGTGTAGGCTGAGGCAAAGGGCAGATACATCTCTCCCTTCTCCTGCTGGCAGTCGGGTGGAAGGGAGAAAAGGAGCCCATTTAGCTAGCCTCCAAAGTGCTCAGGTGAAAGTAGAGCTCAGGGGGCAGGGACTAGCCCAAGACGAAAGCCTGGGCATTTCTTCTCTTATGTCTGGTATAGCCCTTAACCCTCTTAGCACCTAGGAATCCACACTGCCTGGGACTATTTGATTCATCTGTCTCAGAAACACAGGTAAGAAGGGGTTAGGGAGTAAAAACCTTTATCACCAAGTAAGAAACTGGGTGGTGTACAAAGATGGCCAGTGAGGGCCACTCTGTTCAAGTGTGGGTCTTCCAGCCAGCAGGTCCATGGCTGGCAGGCCTCTGCCCACCGGATGCCAGGAAGAGGAGGCTGCCAAAGACCCGGGGCTGAAACTATCACCATTGCGGCTTCCAGGACGGCTGTCCAGCATTGATGAGGCCAGACCAGCAGGTCCGGGCCCAGCTTCCCGCCGTGGCTCAGTACTGGGCTTGGCCTCATCCTTTTCCCGCCGCAACTCACTGGCCGGATCAGGTGTGAGTCCTGGGGGTCGGCGAGCATCCCTGGGCCCAGTGCCCCCTTTAGGCTCGCGGGCCAGCTTCTTGGGGTTGCCCTTGGTGCCCAGCCGGAGGATGGCGCCCTCGTATCGCACAGAGCCGGCACCAGGGGAGCGCTGGGAGGCCTCACAAGCGCAGCGTGCCCTGGAGGAGGCACTGGCCTCAGGGCTGCAGGACACTTGCTACTCTGGCATGGAGGCGGGGCCCCTGGCACGAGAGCTGTGCAAGCTAGTGCATGTGCGCCTGCGTGGACTCAGCCCGCCGCGCTACAAGCTGGTGTGCAGCGTTGTGCTGGGGCCACGCACTGGCCAGGGTGTGCATGTGGTCAGCCGTGCGCTTTGGGACGAGGCGCGCGATGGCCTGGCCTCTGCCACCTTCACCAACGCCTCACTTTTCGCAGTGGCCATGGTCCACGGGCTCTACTGTGAGTGAAGAAGCCTCCAAGTTCTGCAAAATGGTTTATTATTCCAGGAGGAGGCCCTCCATGGGACGCATATCCCAATAAATAAATGTCAATAAATAAAAGTGGTCCATAAATAACACCCCCTAGCTGGGGGCTAAGGCTCAGGATTTTCTTGGAGAAGGGATAGGAGGCAGCTAAGACAGGCTACCTCCAACCCCAGTAAAGCTGGTCCCTGATTCCCTGGGGGATTAGGCCCAGAGCCCCCAGTGAGGCACCAAAGGGACAGGGAGGGCCACAGAGGCAAGGGCTAGAGCCTTACAGGCACAGGCATCAGGCCTGAGGACTTGAGTCATAGCCTGCTCTGCAGGCTGGGGCCTAGGCTGAGCAGCGGTCCTGGAGCAGGTGCAAAGTATAGCAGAGCCGCTGCCGTAGATCTGGGGAGCAACCCAGCTGCCGAAGGTGGGAAGCGAGGTAAGTACAAGCACTACGATTGCGGGCCACAAAAGTCACAAGGAGGGGCTCCCAGCCACTGAGGATCAGCTTGGTGTGGTCTCCATAGAAGTTCACCTGTGCACAGGAGGGTGACACTGATAAAGGCCTAGGCCCCAGGTCCGATTTCCTCCCCAGCACCCTAGGCCTCTCAGACCTTCCCAGTTCCAGGAAGAGCTCTTACCTGGACAGTGCCATCACTAAACAGCATGAGCAGGGCCTGATCAGTCTTGACCCACTGCAGCAAGAGTGGGGGAACAGGTACCTCCACTTCTTCCACACTTGGCAGATCTCCACCCTGGGAGCAGAGACAGGTCACTTATCTGACACGATTCAGGCCCCTCCCCACTGATGTCTCCCTTAGAGGTTCAGCCTTTAGCTTTGAGGCCTCCACACAAATGGCAATAGGAAGGGACTAAGAGGTATTAGTCCTAAATGTGCCCCACCCCAGTCCACACACCTTCATGAGGCGCTGCTCCATGTAGGAAGCAAAATACCGCAAGACACCCAACTGAGGCTGCAGGGCCCGAGGCACAGCACCCACAGAGAAGGAGAAGTGCTTTGTGCTGGTGGGATTGTATTGCACAGTCCTGGAGGGGAGGAGACAGAGGTCAGAGGGAACCCAGCACCAATGCCCTTTCCCTGAGAGACTCCAGGCCCCCAAGCCCAGGAGCACACACCAAGGTGCAGCCCTACTGGTTACAGTGGTCTGGATACAAGGCACCCCATAACAACACTTACTTTCTGTTGGCTGACAGGGCCATGTGTGTGCCGTTGTTGAAGAGCACAGCCACACGGCGGCTGGATAGCTGATACCCAAAGCCAAACTTGTTTGAGTAGTCAACCCACTTGCTGACCCATACCAGAGGCTCTGGCTGTGCCAAGGGAGCTGGGTTCTGTTCCGCTGTCGTGGGAGAGGGAGAAGTAAGGACCTATTCCTGGCCTCTCGGCCAAAGAATTCCTACCACCAGTCACATGTACCAGACCCCAACCTTACCTGGGGGCATGAAGGCCAGGCAGTTTCTCAGAGCACAGAGGGCTGACTCTACCACTGTGGCCACAGTCAGACCTTCTTCAAACCCTGAAGGAACAGGGTACTCAGATTAGGCATAAGTTCCCCAGAACCCAGGCCATGTCCCTCTGCCCACTTCCCTCTGGTCCCTGGTCTCAGCCCCAGCAACCTCTAGCGCCTCTCATACTCCTGGCTGCTCACCATCTCCACTACTCGCCAGTGTCCCACGAGGTGAGCTGTCTTCAGGTGCTGTCTCTACCAAGCTGAGTGGGGCTGGACCAGGAGCTGCTGGAGCCTGGAGGGTTGAGTAGGGCAAAGGACTGAGCTAGGGCCCTGGATCCAAATCCTTGAGAGTCCATGGCCCAGCCCTGCCCTGGCACCCAGGGCACCCCAGGTCAGCCCTGCCTGGCTAATGAGACACAGCCAATTAGGCCACCACGAGGCTAGATGCTTCACCAGCTTCTTTTATCCTGAGCTTCCTGCAGCTGCTAGGGTGAAGGTGAGTCAGGGGAACACTGCCCGTGTGAGCACCTCACCTCAGGCCTGGCATCCTGATGGCCAATGTATGTCCGAGTGAGGCCGCTCACTAAACAAGAGACCTCGTCCTGCTCCTCAGGATGGTTCTTACCTGGATGGGGATATACATAGCCCTCAGAATCCTGTCCAGCCCCTCTTCCCACAGAGATAATACAGATAAACAGACCCAAGTGCCTTTATAACACACGCTCTCCCCAAGGGCTCACAGGCACTCACATTCACACCCCCACAATGTGTGTAACAAGCCCCCCTGCCGCTCTGTACCCTCTAAACCACTACTATCCCAGACTCACTCTTGTTCTTCTTCCTGCCAAAGAGGCTCTTGGTAACTTTGACAAACAGAATCCTAGCTGGATTAAGAGGTATCAGGTCTGGGACTGTCACGCAGCTGCTGACAGGGAGCCGGTCGGGGGTGTAGCCCTGAGGAGTGGAGCCATGTGAGCAGAAAAGAGAGGCCTCAGGAGTCCTGTCACCTGCCCTCATTCAATCCCCTAGGAATGTATGAACTGGACTTAGGTAATCCACAGACCTTGGTAAAGAAGTCATGGCGCAGGATCTGGTCAATTGAGGGGCGGTCCTGGGGCGACGCTCGAAGGATAGCGGCCAGGAGCTGCCGGGCAGGCAGTGAGAGGCTGGCAGGCAGCGTGTAGTGAACCTGTTTGATACAGCGGTATGTCTCCTTCAGGTCGACTGTCTCAAAGGGGGGGCTCCCACATAGCAGTGTGTACCTGTTGGGCAGAGATAAGGAGTCAGGAGTTAAGTGGAAGGGATTCCCTACCCATCCTACCCATGTACCCATCTGTGTGCAGATGACCCTAGGACTCACATTACACAGCCCAGAGACCACACATCTGCCTCAGGGCCATGGCCTTGTCTCTGTAGCACTTCTGGAGCCACATAGTTAGGGGTGCCACAGATGGTTCTGAAAAGGGGTAGAGAGGAGAGAAGGTTCAGACCCAGCCCAGCTAAGCTAGTCCCCTCATCTCTGCCCCCACTGTGAGTCCAGACAAAGCAGCTGCCTGTTACCAAACACTAGAGAACTCCTGCTTGTCCTGGGACAATGGATGCCGGGGATGGCAGCTGAGTCCCCACCCATCTGCCTGGCCCAGCTGCTCAGCTGCTCTATAGGACAGAGGGAGGCCCTGACCTCCAACTCAGCCTCCTCCTCCAGGGTCAACAGAGGGTCCATCACTGATCCCTTCCTCCTTCCCCAAACCCCGTCTGTCAGACACCCATACAGGCTGTCACCTCCTACGGTCTGTGCCACACACACAACACCAGCTGTCACATCCCCCATAAATACTCATCTGCCACATATGCTATCTGTGTCACTCAAACCTAGTCATGGCCACAGTAAGGTCTTCTTACACATATACAGGGTGTCATGTCCTGCCATTCCCACCCTCTCAGTCTGTCTCACACGTACAATGTTTATGTAACATTCTCCCATCCATATAAGATCAGTCACAGACCTCCGAGAATCCTTATATCCCCATCTGTCTCAGGGACTTAGATACTCATAGAACCTTCACCTCTCCACCAGTTCTAGTAACCCAGGCTGCCACCTCCACTTTCACACAAAAACGGCCCATCGTCTTTTCTCTCTCTCTCTCTCTCTCTCTCTCTCTCTCTCTCTCACACACACACACACACACACACACACATCAGTCATTGTGCTTCCCACATACATATTGTCTGTCATTCACGTCATCTATGTCACGCACAGACTGTGGCCACCCCCCTCTGTAAACACTCACTTCTTCCTATGTTCTGGGGGTTCCAACCGTGTTGCCAGCCCAAAATCCCCCATCTTCAGTTCCATGTTCTCAGTGATAAAAAAATTTCCTAGACGGGGGCAGAGAGGTGTGTCAGACTCATTTCTCTCTGCCTCCCAACCCCCAACCCCATCCTGCCGGCTCAGGAGTCTCACCCAGCTTGAGGTCTCGGTGCAAGATGCCTCGCTGGTGCAAGTACTTGAGTCCCGAAAGGATCTGCCGGAGGTAGTAGCGCACCTCTGGCTCCAACAGGGTGTGCCGGGCCTTCCAGATGTGGGCCAGAGACTGCAGAGAGCCACTGCCTCAGCCTCTGGTCTACCATTCCTGACCCTCCCTCCATCAGTGCTCGAGGAGGAAGAGACAGGACTCTAGCTTTCGGTCTTAAGGCTCCCTTTATTCCCCTCCCCATCACTATCCCTCACCTTTCGGCTGCAGAGCTCCAGAAAAATGTATATGTTGTCAGCATCCTCAAAGTGGTGCGAGAAACGCACGATGTGGCGGTGCTGCAGGCCGCGGTGCAGCTCAATCTCGTTTAGGATCTGCAATAGGAGAGCGAGGTTGTCATCTTTCAAGGGCTCTCATGCCACTGTCCCTACCCCACCCCTCGTCCGCTGGGCCTGGGCCCGGGCTCACCTTCTCGCGCTGATGCGGCTTGGTGATGCGGCTCTGAGAGATGACTTTGACCGCGTAGGCGTTGCCCGTCTCTGTGTCAGTGGCCTCGTAGCAACGGGCGAAGCCCCCCTATGAGGAGGGGACATCAGGTAAGGTGCTCCAAGGGGAACCGGATCTGGCCCGCAGAAGTCCCCTCTCCGAAGACAAGGGCCCCTGCCCCGCCCCGCGCGGGATAAGAGGATGGCAAGGGCCTCGGCCCTCGCAAACACCATCCCAGCTCACCTTGCCCAACAGGCGGCCTTTGAAGTAGGTGCGGCCGCTGCACGGGTCCGTGATGAGGCGCCCCGGGTCCGGCGCCGGCGGCCCTGCCAGCGACTCCAGCTCAAGTCCCGGCATGGCACGCGGAGGCGGTCCGGGACCCGCGGGTGGCGCGGGTGGAGCGGCCGCACGCGGGAAGGGGCGCGGGGACAGGATGCCGGCGGCGGGCTCCATGCGGACGGTGCGTCGCAACGCGGGCTGGGTTCGTTCTCGGTTCCGCCCGGGCCCCGCCGCGCGTGGCGCTGCCGAGGTTTGCTACGCTGCGCTCGGGCCAGTGGGAGCCCGGCGTTTTTATCAATGAACGCCTGTCCCCTCCCCGGCG